GACCAATATTTCAAAAAATTCCCCAAAAATTTCCCCAAAAATCCGCCAATTTCCCCGTTTTGGGGAAATTTCCCCAAAAGTGAGAGCCCTGGATGCAGAGCCCATAGGCCCACTAGAATTACATCAGGAAGGAATTATTGGTTTAAAAAAGAGACAGTTGCCTTACATCCAATATGCTTTTGACAAGGAATTGTTCACTGTGGCTGCAAAGGACACTATCAAGTAATATATGACATTTTCCATGAGTGAGATTGAGGAGGATGGTAGCAGTGCTGATGCCTGTGATGGTAGCAGTGCTGATGGTAGCAGAGATTATGGTAATGGTAGTAGTGCTTATGATGATGGTAGCAGTGCTGATGGTAGCAGTGATGATGGTAATGGAGCAGTGCTGATGGTGATGGTAGCAGTAGTGATGGTAGCAGAGATGATGGTAATGGTAGCAGTGCTGATGGTGATGGTAGCAGAGATTATGGTAATGGTAGCAGCGCTGATGGTGATGCTGAGATCAGTACTTCTGAGATATTAGACAATTGATGTTTTGTAAATGCAAAACAAGACCTTTTTTATATTAAAAGTTGGGTTGTTTACATTTATACTTTCAATAGCTTTGTAGTTTTGAAATATAAACAATCATATTAAAAAATTCTTTATGATCACAATGGCTTAATTTCTCATGACCCTCCCTTTTTGGCTTTCTATTTTTTTCATGACCCTCCCTTTTGAAGGGCTCAAAAAATTATGACCCTCCCCAGTTTTCCCCACCTCCCTCCCTCCTGCTAATTTCTGACAAATCCCTGAGATCGATTTTTCTACCAGATCTAACAGGCTTCAACAATTATGGAAAATACTTTTTCAAATTTATTATGATTCTTCAGCGGGGAATAATACTTTTGATGATGGGTTGATATTACTTTATATTAGGGATGCAATTATGTGTTTAAATGAATGTAACCGAGTGCTAGATTTATCGTATCAATGCCCTGTACAGTACTCTGGAGGGGCAGGAAGACGAAAGTTGGCCGTTACAAAGAATCAGTTGGAATACTTAATCGATAATGACTTCATTGCCAAGGACATTGCAAGCATGTTAAACATCACTGTTCGAGCTGTACATCGTCGATTTCAGGAGTTTGAACTTTCAATCCAAGCATCTTATTCTTTCATCAGTGATTCAGATCTCGATACTGTTCAGATCTCGATACTGTTGGGTATCGCAGAGTGCATGGAGAACGTGGCAGGAGAAAAATAAAACTCACTCAACACAGAGTGTGTGAAGCAATGCATTGTGTTGATTCCAATGGCGTCGCAGTAAAATGGATGAATGCTATCCCGCGACAAACATACCAATGTAACAGAACCAATGGCCTTATGGCATATCGATGGAAACCATAAGTTTTGGGTAAAGCATTATACAACGATTTTATTGCTTATTAAATTTCAAAATGTTGTCTGAGGCACCATGCCATTAATTGCAATTTTTTTTCAATTTTGGGGCCTTATGGAGAAAGGTAATTGCTACCCTTAGGGACATAGCAACAGTAAAATAAGTGCATGGATGGAGTTGTAGACAAATACCAATTATTCATCGCAATTCTGCTGTATTTCATCTCTTATCACAGATAACCAATGTCAACCAACCCCCAGGCAGTTCTGGTATACGGTTTCCCCACTTCCTTTCCCCAGGGATTGTCAAATAGTAGAACCATGCATATATTATTACCGTAATTTCTGTTTTAAGCTCACTGGGGGCTTATTTTTTCAAACGTCATTGATGGGGGCTTAATAGAGAGAGAGGGCTTATTCTAAATATATACAGCAAGTCTATATACCATAAATGCAGACATATAATTTTAGAATTTTAATCAAGGTGCAGTAAAATAGTAAACATGTCCGTCTTCTAAATAACCAAAATACGCCATCCTTTCTCCAGTTTGAAACTTTCATTTGCCAGGGGCTTCAAATTTGAATTTTTCAGCAGTATCCAACAGGATACTGGCAACTTAAAATCTGGTATCCACCCAGAAAATCTAGTATCCCAAATTTGGATAGTAAATTATTTTTGTATTGTGACCAGCATACAAACAATGCAGCTCCGCTGATTGATTGGAAATAATTGAAACCATTTACTAAATATTCTATTTACAATAAAAATGCATCTCACACACTCAAGTATGTTTACAATGGAATACATACATAACAGTCCTGTTGTAGAGTTGTTGTTTAGTCCCAAAGTCATGTCACTCTTAAACATTTCTAGACATTAACCTTTTTTTCATGCATTACAATGAATTAGATACTTTTAACATTAAAAATTAAATCCATCAAAACTGGATTCTTCAGAATCAGAGTGAAACATTGCTGCAACATCATCATCAGAAAATACTGATGCAGGCATGGCACTGTTACTGTTAGTCACTTCATATAATGTGCTAGGGTTACTGTCATCTGACTCATCAGGGTCATCATGAGACTGCTGGTTGATTTCTTTTCTGCCATGTCTTTTGATTAGGCCGACAGCCTAAGATGGATGCTTTATTCCACAGATGAATGGTGGGGTCTGGGTTGTATTCCTTGATATCAGCTGAATGCAAAGTAATTTGCATTAGGGACCAGTCATAAAGTAACTGCTAGGGTGGGCCGGAGTGATTTGGGATGGGCCGCCAATTATTTTGTATGTCTACGGTTGGGCCACCAAACAAAAACCCATGTCTACTTTCATCCAGGGGCGTAGGAAGCCAGGGGGGGCCTCAGCGCCAACCATGGTGGCGCCTTGTGGGAGTCGGCCCCCCTCCCTAACTTTTACAAGCTTCCCTACTTTCATCACTTATTATGATAAATATAATAGCAAATAAGATTTTAAAATCAAACATAATACAAATCTAACAGGGCTGTACACTGCACCGAGGGCAGCAGGGACAACTGCCCCCACCCCCTAAAATTTAACTAATTTTTTTATGTGATTATGCTTGTAACAGATAATTATGCAGTCAGGAAATAAAAATGTCATGCAAACAATATTCAAAGTGTCTATACAGCTGGCTATTTAGTAAACTGTCACTTTTCAATCCATACTCATCGAATTTTCAAAACTTTATTGTGATCATATGAAGCAAAAGTTCTGTCACTTGTTGTTTACATTTGCCAATGTTAACTGTTGAGTGACATGCAAACTATTCCAGGAACATGCATTACTGTAACAAAGAGTCCATCATATATTGAAGACCATGCCCTGAATAGTAGAGCATGTTTTGAAGGTCATAAGTGAAGTATATAATTCAATTCCAACCCTGTGCACAGTTAACTCAATTCGATCCGCCAATATTAATTTCCGACGTATTTGACGGGAAGATTAAATATTAAAGAACTTCGAGTATTTGCAGTAGACATACGAAAATACCAGCAAAAAAATCCGCTTGATCGATACTATATATTCAGAAATATTCATATAATTTTATTGTTTCTCGCTCAATTTCAAGCGAATTTCTTACCTTGAAATGATCAATGCAGTGAAATTTATGCAAATGACACATCAATTTTGCTGTTGCATTTTGAATGTTCCGCCTGATTCAAATGCTCGTCTTTTTGCTTCTTTTCAACGTATAATAATAACAAATATACCAAAAGAATCGCCATCTTCCATTCTATAGCTCGGAGCAGTCTCG